TATAACCGTTTAGCGCAGGTTTGGTCAAAGGATCGGCTTCACTTGTCTCTGAAGGGTTTGTAACATGGTGCTACGAATGGTAAAACTCACTGACGATGCCGACAAAACGTCTGGGAATGTACCGCGTCCACGGTCCGACTTTGAAAATAATTATGCATACAATGGACTCAGGACAAGGTGCTTTTCTATTAGTCTTCCTACCAATATGACCAAGCTGCGAAAGCAAGGTCAAACAATTTTTATACTACGGAAGGAGACTGCGACCACAAAAAAGGCCACTCTATCTTGGTCTTATACTTTCAATTTCTAATGTAGTCTAAACTTTATGTTGGGCACCTCTCATTTCCTTTGAACAGACAAATGGAAGGGATTGGTAATTTGGCTTCTTCGGAAGCTGTAAAGGGATTGCCTTGAAGCGGTGATTGCATATTTGTCCGAATAGGTACTTGGTTTGTCTGTATTTGGTGAACTATTGTTGAGCATGGTGTCTTGCTCTAGCGATGTCAATTACATGAAAAACGAAAGTTAAGCAATAATTCATCGGGGTTGCTGGATGGTGCGCTGAGAACCTATTCGCACAAATCTAAACTCACAGCTTCAAGGAAACCCCCCTACAGCCTCCGATGGGCACAACATATGAATCCTTCTCACTCGCCTCTTCATACGAAATAAAAGGTGCTCTAACATCATTCTATTTCAAGATCTAGTTTGGTTTGACTCTGCCACATTTTAGTTTCTCTCATCGAACTTTTCTTAATACTCTCATACAAACAACCAAGAAGCATTCGAAGGCATCACAAGTTATTCAGTGAATGACTAAATGTGCAGTAGTTTATATTAACATTGGCTTATAGGATCGTAGTGATCGAACATTATTTTAACGATCAAACTTCACCTTGCTCAAATAATTTTGACTATGAAATCATAGATATGATTTGTATGTGCACAAGTCCTAATAATTATGTGCACTCTTGTTTTATAACTAAACTACTCGCATTATATTAAAATGAATTGTATAGTTGTGCTTATTAAACGTCTTGCCTAAGATTTTTTCCTGCAAATTCTATTTCATTTATTAACTTTTTCTTTTATGACTTATTCGTGACTTGCTCATGATGACAAAGATATTTTAGGACGTACGCAGTCCTGTCTTCTGTGCCATAGTAATATTGATAATTTCCAGTATTGAAGTACTTCCAAATGATGCAGATATGTGTACCTTCTATAAGGTCTCTTTGTAATTCCGTTCAAGCTGTGAAAATGAGGTTATACCAACTTTACATCTAAACGAGCCTGTGATCAAACCTAAAGCGACACTATCTTGGTCTTTATACGTTTTTATAATAACAAAATTAATGTCTTATTCTAGACTTACTAATGGTATCGAAGCTTACTCAATCAGGTTAAATTAATGTGATCTTTTTAAATATCATCTACATGGTTGCCTTGTTAATAGCATTCTTACTACATCAGCAGATTCGAAAAGTCCTAATTTGCCTTAAGTACTTCATCTACAGGCACCTGTAGTTGTTGTTAGGCTCATAACGTTCCCGCTCTATATTTTATTTACTTCCCCAGACAGGATTGAAAAGCTTTTTGAGAGATAAAGCCAACCGAAAGTAATCGGCAACTTATGGCTTTTACTCATTTCGAAGTGGGAAATTTAAAT